GAGAAACTTAATTTTTCGCCCCAAAAAAAAACAACGAAAGGGGTACCACTGTCGTTTTTTTTTTTCGGGTCGAATTTTTGAGTTTCGATATTTCAGCTCTGGAAGGGTCTAGAGCCTCCATTTTTGCACTCAGGTCTAAGTCTCATTGCCCTCTATCAGAATCCAGAGTTTTGAGAAGATTGGAGAAACTTAATTTTTCGCCCCAAAAAAAAAACGAAAGGGGTAACACTGTCGTTTTTTTTTTTCGGGTCGAATTTTTGAGTTTCGATATCTTAGCTCTGGAAGGGTCTAGAGCCTCCATTTTTGCACTCAGGTCAAAGTCTCACAGCCCTCTATCATAATCCAGAGTTTTGAGAAGATTGGAGAAACTTAATTTTTCGCCCAAAAATGAAAAAAAACGAAAGGGGTAACACTGTGTTTTTTTTTTCGGGTCGAAAGTTTTAATTTCGATATCTCAGCTGTGGGAGGGTCTAGAGCCTCCATTTTTGCACTTAGTTCAAAGTCTCGTGGCCCTCTATCATAATCCAGAGTTTTGAGAAGATTGGAGAAACTGCATTTTTCGCCCAAAAATGCAAAAAAAAAAACGAAAGGGGTAACACTGTCGTTTTTTTCGGGTCGAAATTTTTAATTTCGATATCTCAGCTCTGGGAGGGTCTAGAGCCTCCATTTTTGCACTCAGGTCAAAGTCTCGCGCCCCTCTATCAGAATCCAGAGTTTTGAGAAGATTGGAGAAACTTCATTTTTCGCCCAAAAATGAAAAAAAAAAAAACCAAAGGTGTAACACTGTCGTTTTTTTTTTTCGGGTCGAAATTTTGAATTTCGATATCTCAGCTCTGGAAGGGTCTAGAGCCTCCATTTTTGCACTCAGGTCAAAGTCTCACAGCCCTCTATCATAATCCAGCGTTTTGAGAAGATTGGAGAAACTTAATTTTTCTCCCGAAAACGAAAAAAAACTAAAGGGCTAACACTGTCGTTTTTTTTTTCGGGTCGAAATTTTGAATTTCGATATCTCAGCTCTGGAAGGGTCTAGAGCCTCCATTTTTGCACTCAGGTCTAAGTCTAATTGCCCTCTATCAGAATCCAGAGTTTTGAGAAGATTGGAGAAACTTAATTTCTCGTCCGGAAAAAAAAAAAAAAAAAACGAAAGGGAAAATTGGGGTACCACTGTCGTTTTTTTTTTTTTCGGTTCGAATTTTTGAGTTTCGATATCTCAGCTCTGGAAGGGTCTAGAGCCTCCATTTTTGCACTCAGGTTTTAAATCTCATTGCCCTCTATCAGAATCCAGAGTTTTGAGAAGATTGGAGAAACTTAATTTTTCGCTCGAAAAAAAAAACAAACGAAAGGGGTACCACTGTCTTTTTTTTTTTCGGGTCGAATTTTTGAGTTTCGATATCTCAGCTCTGGAAGGGTCTAGAGCCTCCATTTTTGCACTCAGGTGTAAGACTCTTGGCCCTCTATCAGAATCCAGAACCCAAGGAAATATTTCGGCAAAGTCCGCTTCCTGTCCTGGGAGGCGAACTTGGTAGTAAACCTAAAGAAGAGACGAACTTTAGACGAACAAAAGAAAGGATCCAGGGTTGGATCTGACCGGATCCCCGTGACTCACGGGAGTTACATATTGAAGCAGCGCTGGAAAGTCCAGAAGAGCGCGGGTGGAGCTGCGCTCCTACATTTATCACCTGGGAGAAATCCATTCCCTTCCTGTTGGCTAGAGCCAATCAGGGGAATGGACATTGCCCGCGGGAACTCTCGGTTTATTGTCCTTTGTTATCTAAAGGGATGCACGTGGGCATGTGTGGGAGGGGTTATAGTTTCGTGTTGATCTTCATTGATGGTAAAACATATTAAAAGTACACTTTACTTTATATCTCTGTGCATATTTGGGTGTTTCCTTCCATAAGCATCCTAGAGGTACCAAACATGAAATGAAAGTCAAAGGAAAAATACAGAGGTATTTAAAATGCATAAAGAAGGTATTTTTAATGTCTATTTATGCCGCGACCAAACGAAGATATTTCACTGTGACATGGGGGAAAACACATATAGAAACACATTGAGTATATCTTGTTGAATGTCTTTAAAGTCCCTGTAAAGTCAAAATTAAATATGTGTTCTGAGTTTGTCACACCACAGAAAAATGTGTTATTAGCCACCCAGCCAAATTTGAATGATAAAAAAAGCTGGCAAGTACATAAAATAAGCTATCCAAATCTTGAAAAAATGAGCAGTTATCTCTGTTCTCAAACGATGGGGGCGTGTCTGCTGGCTGCGCTGAAACCACGCCCACTAGCGGGAAAGCTGTCGACGGTGATATTAGCTGATATTGCTTTTGGGACGGGAGGATGAACACTGAGGCGGGAGATAGTCGTTTCGGCCCGTTCACCATAAACAGCGGATTATCAGTGAATCCCAGTTGTCTCTGAGGAAAGTTTATAAAACTATCCAGTGTAAAATGATCACTTCAGAGGCGGGTTTTGACGGTGATCCTCAGCTCTTCACCAAGGTTGGTTCTCTAAAAACCTCTTCTTGATGTGATGGTTTTTATGGAATTTAAATCAAGATACCGATCTGTTTTGTACATGATCGCATCCAGGTAGTAGCCTATGCATTTCTGTGTAGAAAACTGTAGGCTCAGCTGTAGTTGTACTGACAGTCACTCGCGATTGAGCAGAATGCGAATGTGCTCGGGGAGTGTTATTGTGTGTAAGGGGAGAGATCAGACTCTGTGCGTCATCAAATAGGGGCGTGTCCAGGAGCTCATGGGCTCCAGTGCGTCATCGAGCCCTGTTTTAGCCCCGCCCAAAAAATCCGTAAAATTGCAATGGTGAAAAACTGTTTAACGGTCTAACTCCACATTTCAGTACTTCACTTTTTATCTTTGTAACATGTAACTTTGTCACGTCTTTGTAATATGTTTTAGCAATACATATGCAACATTTATAATGTGTTTAGAACTTTTTTTGTAGAATTGCCTTTACAGGGACTTTAAAAAGAGAAAGAGTTTTTCCCTTTGTTCAGGGACCCACTCCTGTTACATTAGAGGCATTCTATGTCACTTGTAACCCGATACCCACTGAAGTAAGTGGGTGCGTGTGTGTTTGTTCAGAAGCAAAAGCTAATTTATTCCGCACAGTCCTTACATCATGGACTGCAGGCTTAGGTGAAATGCTCCAGAAGTTAAAAAAGGGGGCTGACATGTGATGTCCATTGTAATGGACACAGGGTCTGAATGGGTTAACATACCAAAACAACAATTACTAAAAACACACAAAAACACATTTTGCATGGGCATTGCACTAGTCTATCTATAAATTACTGGAACGTCTGTCTGTCTGTCCGTTAATCAAATATCTCTAGTTATTCTGATGGTTTTTAAACTTGACAGGACGTCTTACTACGGGCTTCCAAAGCTTATAATTCTGAATCCTAAAAGTTACACAGATTGACTAGGTCTATTTCTTTCCTTTGAAAATAAAAAAAATAAAAATAATAATATGTTCTAGACAACCTGGAGCCAAAACCCTTTGTAGAACTGAGCAAAAACTACCATTTTTAATGGGAAAAAAACAAAACAAAAAATGACCCCACATTATGCAAAGAGGGGTGATGTTTTCGTTATAAGCCTTGTCTGTCATTTTAGTAAAGCTGCTCTCATGTATAAACCTGCCTGTAGGTTCCTCTGGCCGGGCGCCTGAAGCATCTGAACTGTGCAGAAGTGCCATCGCTGTGATTCAGAGCATCCTCACGCTCGATTTAAACCGCTGCTTGACTCGTGCCTGTCGGCTACCTTTGCGCTTTAATCTCTCTGAGTGGTGGGAATGTGAACTAATGAGATAAATTAAGAATCATTAGCCTGGAGCTAAACTTTAAAGATATCATCCATGTTCTGCAAAAAAAAAAAAAAAAGATTCCTTCAACCCAAAGCAAAGGAGGGATTCGGAAATGACATGCGATAACCAATATATGGAAATTCACAGCAGATTTGCGATACGTTTTATATATTCCCCTTGCCTGAATGTTTGATGATTGCAGTAAAAAAAAGATATAAATATATTATAAAATAATTATATATATATATATATATATATATATATATATATATTTGAGATTTAAAAAAACTTTAGTTTGAACTTTAGTTAGAAAACAAAAAATGAAAGTTTCTGAAATAAGGCCACAAAACACACTAAATATGTGTCCACAAGACTTTTGACTAATTGATGTTGTTGCCTAGGGTTTTTTCTTCACAATGATCTGAAAATCATCCTCCTAATCGTTCACATAAAACTGTGAATTGGGTTATATTGTGAAAAACATTTTTTTTTTTTTTTGCCAAGGCAATATGCGAATGGGCGTGAACAGGCCAGCCCCATCATGAATAATTATGTGATTCTCACCTGAGAGATAAAGACACGCATAATAATGAGCCTTTCATTCAGGTGAGTCAGACAAGAAAAAATGGAAAGGACAACATAGACACATACATTCAGTAATTTCACTTAAATGTCTATTAATGGGTAGTCTTCATTGCCATTTAAGTGCAATTACTGAACTTAATTATACAAGTTTGATAAAAATGATCATTCTAGAAGAAAATTTCAAATGGCACTTAGAGGCATTTGCATCTGAACTCTTTATACACGTATATGTATAAAATCAAAGTATAAATGAAAGTCAAAAAACATTTTTAGTCATACCAGGAAACAAAACCTGATCAAATAGGTGCCATGTACTAACATTCTAACTAAATAACGTTCGTTCATACGTTCGTTCACACACCCGAATCATATTTAAACACTCTTTTTGGTTATGCAGATAACTAATGTTATATTACTAATGTAGCCTAAGCATGTCGGAGCGAAAGTGAATTAACGCACAGCGCGCGTCAGTCGTCTATTCCTTCCTATCAGACGCGCATTTAATATTTAAACAGTCTTTGTGGAGTTTACAGACACTATTCAAAATCGCGATTAGAACAAAGCACTTAAGAATAAATGACTTACTGCATCAGCTGAATCCGTGCTCCTCAAAATGAAACTGAAACTGAGGTGAGTTTTTTTCCATGATCTCCTCACACAGCGCAGGTTAGGTTACAAAGGTTAGGACGATAGGCACAAAGGTTAGGACGATAAACTGTATGTTTTATGATGTGGGCGTTTTCATGGCTTGCCTCAACTTTCCAGTTTGAATAGCACGTGCTCTCAGTGGGCGAGGTGACATTAACACGTCATTCGCTATAATGAGGTAAAAGGGAAAAGACGGCATCTCTGATAAGGGTTCAAAATAAGAAAGCGATATCAGCAACTGAATTAAATATTTAAGTGAAAATCTAGGAATATATTTCTCTTGTTATAGTTAGTTTGTAAGTCTGTCTATTTAAGCTATGTATTTTTATTTATTTATTTTTTATTTTTTCATCTATTTTTTTCAATTAATTTTATTCTGATGTTTATTTATTTATTTTGCTGTATAATTTCTGTTTACGAACTGTGATGATTGTATGTTTGTAATCTGCATTCTAATAAAAAAAAGAAAAAAAGAAAAGGCGGGCATCTCTGTCTTTTCATACAGATTACATCAACTGAGAATAGTTGCTTTTTTATATAAATGACTTCATTTAAAAGAAGAGAATCTCAGCTTCATAAAGAAAGATCTTTCGTGTGTCTTTAGTAGGCTATTTAATGAGTTACAGCTGATTTTTCAGACGCGTTTCAGAAAGATTTTTGCGGAGATAGAGTGAGCTCAAAGCGCACCGTTTAATTTATTTATTTTACAAAAAGACAAGGTTTTGATTTATATGACCATTAATGATGGAGTATTTTAAGTCTTTTTTGCAGCTATGTGACAAAAAAAAAAAAAAAAAAATGCGGGGACGCGTTATTGGTCCCCAGTGGGTTAATGCCATGGATCACATAGAATACAGCCGTAGACAATATCTCTCATCCATATGCTTTGTTGTTTTGTGTGCGTGTTGTGGCTGAGGGGGTATAAAGTCTCATTGAATTATGGATTTACGCCTTAGACTTTGATGGCCAAAAATACCCCTGTTCACTAATACTGCAATCAATCTCTCTCCATGCCTACTGAGTATAATTAGACAATAATGAGGAAACTGCTTTATGTTGGATCTCAAACTATGTGTTGACCTCAGCAACTTATAGTCCATTAGACAGCAAATAGCTCACAATGCTAGCATAATAAAGCATGCATTCCACTTCAGCTGAGGACTGAAGCATTACATGTACCGGCCTATAGACTGTGCTGCATTGGAAGCCTCATGTGACCCCAGGAAATAAACCAATATGACTGTTAAGAGTAGAATACTAAGCAAGCAGAAAATACTGCACATATACAGTCTGCTATTCAAGTAAGTGAAATGTTAATTTGAAATAATTTAACTTGAAATGTTTCAAAAATTATTTGCTACATGATGCAGATTGCATGTTTAATTCAATGAGTTACAGCCAATAATATTGAAAATAAACTGTATTTTTAACAAATTTAAATAATGTTGCATTTTGTGTAATCCTGTCGTAACATTTGGCAGTCCAATTAAAAAATGCAAGTCAATCTCAGTTGCTTCTGGTCCGTTCCTCAGATGGAAATCAACAAAAGTGCATTGCATTGTGAGAAAAAGAATATTCAGTTTTTATGTTTTAGCATGAGCTGTGTATTTGTGTCTATTTTTTTTCCCAAGTAGCAGAAAAAGAATCATTTATATGACACGGTGTTCAAATAAAAACTTGTGTGCGTTTTGGCTGTTAATTTGCACTACAACAGCGAATTTTGAAACAGACTTTTTAAATGCATGTTTTTGAAAGCAATACCATTATTGTCTCCTTGTAAACTATACAAACACAAATTTGTGAAAACAGTGATGTCATGCGCATGCGTATTACGTGTTCAGTCTATAATAGGTGCATAGTTTTTCTTCACAAAGTGACATCGCCAACTACTGGCCTGGCATAATACAGCGTTTTTAATCGTCTCCGAGGATCTGTGTGAATGGGGATCGGTGTGACAACGTTGTCGTCTGTAAGCGAAAAACGCAAAGGAAAAACTTTTCCCCAACTTTTCATTACATCATTGTCGTGTAAATGTCCACATAATCACAGATATTTTATTATATATTATACCTCATTATAGAAGATATTTTTATTGGGATTTTATGAACTGGGCATATTTTTTCCCTCTCTACAGCCTTGAATGTCACTAATATTACTTTTGTTATGACTTTTACATTACATTTGCCGCTCAAGTGATTGGCTCACAACAACCTGGCATAATCTAAATGTTCCTACATTGGTACACATACTATTTTTCTGAATATTGGAATCTCAGGCTCAAACCTGAGGAAGGCTCACAAAGGCAGGCACCCGCGGGGAGCGATTGGGGGTTAGGTGCCCTGATCAAGGAACCTCAATATTGAGAATCAAACCTGCAACCTTTAGATTATCAGTCTGACCATTAACCATTAGGCCACATTCCCCACCATTGCAAAACATAACCACAGGCAGTCATTGTGAAGAGACTGAATTTTGAGTAATTAGAAGATTTAACACATAAACTATAGACATGGAGGCATCCACCTCAACTCACACATTCAAGAGCAATAAAAACTGAACTTTTACTGAAGGTATAAAAAGGAAACATACTGAGATGAGTGACAAGCAGGGAAGTTATTTCTATCTGTGTGGCTTCAGGTTAAAGCGTTCTTAAGAGCCTTGATGTCTTTTGAAGGCGTTGTTTGTGTAAATGAAACAGACTGAAGCATGGCAGTGCGCTGATCACGGAAAATGGGCTCAGTCGAAAATAAAAAGTGATTGTGTGTCACACCGCGGCGAGATCTGAGACGCAACCATCGCGCTATGTATTGTTATTTGTTGCGGCTGTGTCAAGTGTGTCGGCATGTAAGACTCATCACTGTGTTTAGACAAAAAAAAAAAAAAAAAAACTAATTTAGATATGCTTCTCTTTTTCGGAACAAACTGCTTTTTGCTATCTCTTCTTCCCGTGTACTGATAAACCCACTGTGTGGAAAATAAAGAAACGAGAAAAAAACAACAACAACAAAACAAAACAAAGGAGAAAGTCTGGGAGAGCCTCCTTTGTAGCAGGAATACATGCACAGATAGAACAATAAATAAATAAATAAATCAAATAAACATATAAATAAATAATGGAACAGACACGATTGTGTCTTTATGGAAGATGAGAGATTTTTTTCCCCTTCCCTGTGGCAGCTGTGTAGGGCGACCTGTGTTTAACGCACACCGCGGGCAACGCTTTCTGATGACATAAATAGCCGATCATGAAAATGGTTTTCTTCCCCTTGAGTTTATTTTTTTTTTTTCTGCTTCTTTTGTGATTGTGGCACCTCATTTTAGTCACAACGCGGCAAAACTTTGAAAACATAACATATAACTGCGGTTCTTTCAAAAGGAGTGCTTTTTCATTTAATTGCTGTGCCTGGGAATAGTTCAAATCCCAAAGTACACTGTGTGGGCAGGGCACCGTTCTAATAACATATAGACATATATATATATATTCATATATTCATTGTTTATATTCTCATATTCTATGATATGAGGAGTGCACAAGGTCATTATGAGTATTATAAGCTAAACTGGATGGATAGCTTGAGCTACCAATACTGCTACAATTGAGATCCATTTGAGGGAACGATGAAAAAAGACACTTCTGTTCCCAAACAGCTAGTAAGCAAAGGTCGCTTCAAAAATCGGGTTGAATTATGCAGTCTTTATATTCAAAGGCAGCCAATAAGAACATTTTGTGTAATTCATCGCAAAAAGCTCAGTGGATGATACGGGTAAAATGTTGATCCTAACTAAATTGATTCAATATTAAAATGTATGGATGTATGCTTTCAAAATATCATGTTGTCCCTTTTGCACCGCCTTGTATTAGTCACGTGAAAAGGAAGTTGCCAGTCTTTTCTTCCCTATTGTGAGATATATCCAAGCGAAACGGCTTCTCAAACAAGAAAAATATGTTGGATTTTGGCAGAAATTGATTGGATGGTTGGATCATTGTGGTTTACTATTGGTTGATCCAATGTGAGTCACAGGTTGTCATTTAGATGTGTTTTTTTGAAAAGATGAGAAGTTGTTGCAAGAGGAAGGGAAAGTTATTTTGGTTAAAGTACTGTCAATAAAAATGGTCAATTTTTCATTTCAACTTTAAAATCAACATAGAATTGACGCAGTACCGCAAAAAGGCAGCTTATTGGGTTGTGGAAAAGCACAAAAGTCACAACAAATGTATTTTTTTTTTTCAAAAGTGGCAGGTTTTATGTGTTTGATAGATTAATGAATTCTGATTTGTTTCACTAGTTCCTCAGAGAGATCCACTTTTTGGTCCTATATTATGAAACGAACAGCATGTTCTTCTTCTGAATCCTTTCAAACCTAAAGAAGCTAAACAACACTTTGAATTGAACATCAATGGACATTTTTTGTAAAATTAGCTGCCCATAAAACAGTGTTGGTATTGTAAAAAAAAAAAAAATAGGCAAACTGTAGTCGCATGTGGCTGTATTTTAGTTTTGTTTCTTGTAGACAAAAACAAGTTACTCAGCAAGTTAAGTAGTGAACATGTCATTTAAGCAGTCTTTTCCAACACGTGTTTAACACAACCTGTCCAAACGCACATCAGCGAGGCGAAGCAGAAAGCGAGAGCGGAAGAGTGAACCAAGAATGAAACCGAATGGAAATTAAACTCATAGAGTTTGACGACTACTAAGGCATCAGTTGCCAAGTACAATATAAGCCCATGTATATTACAACACAACCATATATTAATTTAATAAAATACACAATATAGCTCTTGTACACGTAACAATTTGGCTCAAATGCACAGAAACTGCAGAAAAATCAATAAAAATATGTCGTTTTGATGTAAACACATTAAATTGGATACATTTTACACATTAAAATGATATTGTGTATAAGTGACAATGTGAAGGGACATTTCCTTTTTTTTAAATCTTTTTTCGTTGTTGTCGTTAATGTAGCTTTTCTGGAATCAAAAACAGTGTCCTTTGCAGTTTAAT